CCGGTACCGTTTCACCACGGTGCAGCGCAAAATTCCGCCTCGCCTGTCGACCGAGCAAGGCGAGCTGGAAGAAATTCACTCACAGGTCCACCATGTTCATACCATTATCGCTGACATACACGAATCCTGGGTAGGTAGAGGTGGCAGAATCATCGCTAGTCTGCCTGATATCGTTGAATCTGGCTAGATGAGAGCCCGAGAGACCCATCATGGCAGCACCGAAGCCCATGTAGCACAGATGCAAGGGCATCTCCAGCAGAACTGGTTGAAGAGGAGCCATTTTGGGCGAAGAGGGTGTGAAGCGAGAGGAAGTGAGGTTGGCAGGTGGTAGCGCTGGTGCGGGCCAAGAGATGGAGCTACGAGGAGGAGCAGGGGCCCTACTTGAAGCTCAGGATGGATGGGACGAAGTGGGTGATGAAGGCTTGCAAGGGAGAGGAGCGATCGGAGTGCGGGAGGGGTAAGATGGCTAAAGGTCGGCGGCAAGGCCAAGCTTAATTGTGAGAATGAGATGAGGGACGCCGTCGTGATCGTGGTCAGCGTAGCGCCAAGTTGGAGGCGCAGGGAGCATGTGAGGAAGAGGTGCGACTGCCGCGCACACAGCACACATCAGCAGCGTCGACGTCTTCTGTCTACTACTCACGACTGTATGTACGGCCAACCAAACAAGCCTGCATAATTTTGCGGGGTGAAAGCTGACCACGATCGAGGACGCGATGCGCGCGAAAGCGAGCGGGCAGGGACTTGCTTCTGCCATCGCGCACCTCGGCAGCAGATCACGAATCGGATGGCACATTATGGCCTCTGTACAGAACAGCACACTCATCAGACTCGCGACTCACGACTTGTCCCACACCCGGCCCTTCCATTTCTGCCTGGCCCCCGCAATGGGCATCCCTACGTGATGGTGCCGGAGCGCGTCGTGACTTTCGAGGGGAACGGGCGGAAAGGCTTTGGACGAGAGCAAGACGAGGGAGGAACTCGATGCGGCAATATGCAAGCTGTGCATGCAGCAAAGGCAACGTTGGATTCACCATTCACATTGGAGCGAGAGAAGACTCACGAGTTCGCGACTGACCGACCGACCGCGGAGGCAAAATTGTGTGTTCTAACAGGCCGGCGCTGACCATCGAGAAGGTTCTTGCTATAGACAGCGCGAAGCCTGGACCCGCCGCACGCGCATTCCATGCCGCGTGCGTGCGTGCAGCTATGCGA